ATTTTTTTTCTACAGCAGAACAGGACAAACGAGCAGTGGAAACACCGAGGTGTTCAACGACGCCTATGGACATCAGCAATACCAGAGGAACCGCAGATGCGTTGCCTGCCTTTGAGATGGTGATACGCTAGCTTCTTGAAGGACCCTAAGTCGTAGCGGTTTGGAAATACCGCCGAGGACAGACCATTCCACAACGCTGCTATGCGAGGCGGGAAGATTCGCGCAAACCGCACGGTTGTGGATTGCCAGCCATCGAGATGGTTTGGATGGAACCTGGCGGTCTGACGTGTCGTCCGATGCCGGAACTCTGCTGCAGGAATCGTTCCAAACAATTCTTCAGAGTACTCCCCTTTTTTTTTTTTTTTTTTTTCAGAGGGGAATGCTTTATGCATACTCCGCGCCCCGGGGGGGACGCGGTAGTTATGTGGGATTCTCTTCCGGATGGGAAGCATACCCACTAAACCCCTCTGTTCCTCCTACGCATCATGGCGAGGCCACGGGCACGCTTGCGCTTTCGTCCGCGACCTCGCCTGAGAGTACTCCCCTTGGTAGATGCGGTAGAAAATGCAGAGGGAATTAATGTCCCTCCGCAACGCCAGAGTGTCGAGCCGATCAGATCAGATCATTCAATTTTTTAAAACAATTAACAATAAAAATGTAAATTTAGTGTAGAGTTAAACTATCCTCAATAGAAACTTACTATTATACGTCGAAATTATATAATTACGTTTGAAATAATTAAAATGTATTTCTTTAATTTCATTTAGCCAACCGTCTATTTTTCAATAAGGTAAATATATTCTAGGAAGCGCTAACAGCCTAATGGTTAAGGGTAAGGATTTCTGATGAAGTCGGTGGTTCGAATCCCTCCATTCGACTATTGTCGTAAACCATGTTCTAGCACAAGCCTAGAGCTTAGTTGGAATGGTATAAATATTAGTAAATTTATACAAATCTGCTAATTTTTTAATAACAAAAAAAACATAAACACGGCTAAACACTTACGTATATTCGTCCGACTCACTCGCGGACGCGGTCCTTCGAGTGAGCGACGGGCCGCGTCCGCGAAATAATACCACTACCACTCAAACTCCACTAAACTTCTGTTGAAGGGCCCCCGATGCCCGCCAAACTAGTCGGTGCCGCCACCGGACGAATATACGTGAGTGTTTAGACGTGTTAATATATCAGTTTGCTATTTTCGTCTAAAAAAAATTCGTATACTTTTGGTGAAATATTTTAATATGTGAATTTATTGTATTTTCCTTTACTTTATAATCTGACTAAAGAAATAAATTGTCAAATAATTATGAAGTTGGATATAACAAAGGGAATATCATAGGTAATTAATAATATAAAATATTTGAATACAAAAAGAATTGTTCAAATAAAATGATTAAAAAAATGTACAACAGGCTTAATATTTAATTAATTTAATAGCGTCTACGAAATAAATTAAAATAACACTATTGTTTTATTTTTTCCACCTTACTAATATTATAAATGCGAATGTTTAGATGGATGTTTGTTTTTTTTTTTTATATCATAAGGTGGCAAACGAGCGAGCGGCCACACGCCAACTTCGGAAATAGCGAAGTGACCGTTGTCCATAGACATACGCAATTGAGGTATGCGTTGCCTACCTTTAATCGACGGAGGAGAGGATGCACAGAAAGAAAATATTTTCCCTTCCCATGCATCCTCTCATCCGGAAAGTCCGCTTCCACTTCCCATCAATTATTTATAAGAAAAAGGGTGGGAAGGGAAAGAGGACAACATTTTAATTGTTTCAAGATATCTTCAGAACAGATGAACGGATCTCGATGAAATTTGGCATGCATATAGAAAATAGTCTAGAAGAACACATAGGCTACTTTTTTATTTTTTTACTCCACGCGGACGAAGTCATCGGCGACCGTTGGTTACTTTATAAAATAAAAAGCCATTGTTGGTTACGAATGTTGACAAATTGCTACGGGACTGATCAAAGAGTCTAAAGTTCACAAAGAGAATACGCAACGGCTCTATTCGATTGGTATTAATATTTATCTAGTTGTTACCTGCGACTTCGTCCGCGCTAATTAAAAAAAATAATTAGTAGCCTATGTATTCTTCCAGACTATATTCTATGTGTATATTAAATTTCATCAAGATTCATTTAGCTGTTCTGGAGATACCTTCAAACAAACATTTAGATGGACTAAACATTCGCATTTATAATATTAGTAAGATAGTAAGATTAGTTGAAGAAATACATGAGGAAAACATGACATTGTGTAGATGAGTGTGTAAAAGAATGACTTATAGCGATTTTTTGAGATCAAAATGTCTGTAGAAAACATACCATCATCCCCGTCATTATCTATGACAAAATAGAGATAGTAATATAATTTAAACAGAGATTTTGGTGTCAGATATCCTCAGTTAGTAAAGTTTTATAATATAGAGCCAAAACATTTTCGGTTTCTTCAAAAAATGTTATTAAAGATTCTTCTAAATCTGTGTTACGGTTAAACAAATTTTAGACGAGATTTATTTTTATTTTAATTGATGTAAAACTAAGCGTCAATAGCCTAATGGTTAAGGGTAGGGATTTCCGATCACGAGGTCGGGGGTTCGAATCCCGCCATTCGACTATTGTCATAAACCATGTCCTAGCACAAGCCTAGAGCTTAGTTGGAATGGTAAAAGAAATATTAGTTAATTTACAAAAAAATCTGCTAATATACACAAAAAAAAACATAGATTAAATGGGTCAACGTTTTAGTATCTATTAATCGAGAAATTTAAATGTATAAAAATAATTAAGGGAACAATTTTCTTAAAACATTGTAAAATTATTCTGGCCCAAAAACCGCACGTTTACGCCGCATTTATGAATATGGAACGCACATAATTAAAGCAAGAATAAACATGCATGCTTAATTTTAGGGACAATATAAAATGTCTTTTAAAACTTTTTAAATTAATTTTTTTTTACTCCGTCAATTGGAATTAAAAAAAAAAGTTAATTAAGAGTGTTTGTGTTCTTCCAGACTATGTTCTACCACGAACAAATAATCCATACACCCATCTTAACATTCGCATTTATAATATAACTAGGTGTCACCCACGACGCCGTCCGCGAGGAATTAAAAACAAACTTAATAAATAGCCTATGTGTTCTTCCAGACTATGTTCTACATCTAAGTAAAACTTCAGCCAGGTCCATGCAGCCCTTCTGGAGATACCTTTTAACAAACATCTAAACATTCGCATTTATAATATTAGTAAGATATGTCTAGTAATGATAGAAATTATCTTTGTTCAAATAAAAACGTAATTAACGTAATTATTTCATGTTTATTTTCACGCTTCTGAAGAATATAAAGCAATATTCATGTAATTAATACAGCTACCATCAATTTTAATAAGAAATAGCGTTATTACGTACACAGAGTAACTTTACACAGACATTTCAGTCTTACTAATATTATAAATGCGAATATTTAGATGTATGGATGTTTGTTTGAAGGTATCTCCAGAACGACTGTACGGATCTCGATGAAATTTAGCATTCATATAGAACATATTATAGTCTGGAAGAACACATAGGCTACTTATTATGTTTTTTTTTATATCACGCGGGCGGAGTCGCGGTCGACAGCTAGTATAAAATATTTTTAAATTTGATTAAATTACCTTTATCGTTCCATTCAAATCCAAAATATTATTTTAAACTTGTAGATATCACTTTATAGGCATAGCCGGTTTTAGTTTCCGGCGCCCTGGGCGAGATTTATGGCGCCCCTTTTTTGATGTCGGAAGAAATCTTCCTAAAATAAGGTAAATTAAGTGACGACCGTGGTGAATATCCGACTCGGGCGCCCTTCGCGGTAGCCCCACATTGCCTTACTATACCTATTTTTCATAAAAGCAATGTAAAGACCAACTCAAAGCTTTAAGCGCTAACTATGTTTGATTAACAGACAACATTTAAGCTATGATTCAAATGTGTCTTTTATTTTGTGAGTTTATTTTTTTTTATTCGACGCTAATGAAATTTTTCTGTTTTAAAATACTCTGTGGCTTCAATTAACACAGCTCTATTTTGATATCATAATGAGAAAAATAATATGTTATTATTTTGTCTTCTTTTCTAATTTAGAGATGTACCAACTAGTCTAATTACTAAAGTAACTAAAAATATATATATTAATTTGACACACGTAATTTTTTTTTTCACTTTTTTCTATGCCTAAATATATAAAGGCAAATAAAGTAAAATATCCTTAACTCATTATGTTAATAACATTTTTTATCAAAAAAAAATGTTTTAGTTATTTCCGAACGTATATGAGATTTTGCACATATGTTTAAAAAGCCTCGAGGGATTTAAAATAAACAGCCTAATTTCGTATCATTATAGTAAATTAAGAAATTGTGTTCTTGTGTTTTAAAAAAGTGATTGCCCACTGTTTATTTTATGTTTTTGCCAGTTTTATTAACATACAGAGAAAGTCATGCTTTTCGCGCGCATGTAATCTTATTAATATTATAAATGCGAATGTTTGGATGAATGGATGGATGTTTGTTTGAAGGTATTTGTATAGTTGTAGAACATACCCTGGAAGAAGACATACGCTAATAATAAAGTTCTTTTTAATTCCTAGCAGACGGAGTCGCGGGCGACAGCTAGTTTTGTATTAATTTTGTTGATTTTTTCTAATATTTTATATTTATTTTACCTACCCATTTTTGATGTGAGACTTATAGTAAAGAATGAAAATTTTATATTTGTGAATTCAATAAATTTAAGATAAAAAAATAAAAATATGAGTGCGTAAACTCAAAAAAAAATTCGAATTTATTTTGAATGAAAAAAAAGTCGATGTTTTTTAATTTAAATGATGCACAACACTATTCTAAAATTAAGTAATTTCGATGTAAATTAAATAATCATACGAACAGTATATAAAGTGCCGCTGACGACTTGACGACTTGACGACTGAAGTGTCAAAATGTACCATATCTTTGATAAACTCGAATCAGATAGTATGCCTTTACTAGGTCCAAATGTGAAAGCATTAAAATTCTGGGGATTAATATTACCAAAGGCAAAATTACAAAGAAATTTCTATTTACTAATGCATTTATCCGTTACAATTTTTACAGCAACCGAATACGTTGATATTTGGTTTATAAAATCCGATATAAATCTATTATTGAATAATCTTAAAATAACAATGTTGGCGACAGTAAGTGTAACAAAAGTGATGACATTTTTATTCTGGCAGAAACATTGGAAGAATTTAATTCAATACGTGAACAACGCCGATTTATCACATCGAATTAGTGATAATAATATTAAGAAAATAACTATAGATAAATATACAAAATACTGTCGCAGAATAACATATTTATATTGGGCTCTTATGTACACTACTGTTATTATAGTTATGGCATTACCGATATATAAATATGCAGCATTACCAACATATAGAGAACTTGTCGAAAATGGTACAGCATCGTACATGCAAGTTGTTAGTTCATGGGTACCTTTTAATAAAAATACAATCCCTGGTCATATAACAGCTTCGGTAATACAAAGTTTTGCTTCTATTTACGGTGGTGGTTGGATAACATCGTTTGATACGAATGCAATGGTAATTATGGTATTCTTCAAAGGTGAATTGGAATTATTGAAGATAGATTGTGCTGATATATTTGGTACGGAATCAAATCCAGTATCTGATAGTATTGCTTGTATTCGTCTACGTAATTGTTATAAACGGCATGTTGAATTGATGAAGTAAGTATCGATTTTAATTATTTTTATAAGCTCCTTTCCTTTCCCTTATAAGGAAAGGATGAGAAGTGTAAGTTGACTTTCAGAATGAGAGATTGAATGGGAAGGGAAAATGTTTTCTTTCTGTGCATCCTCTCCTCTGTCGATTAAACAACGCATATGCAATTGCATATCTATGGGCAACGGTCACTTCGCTATTTCAGCGATTTCAGGCGGCCAGTCGTTTGCCACCTTATGATATAAAAAAAACTTTAGACATTCGTAGTTTCTACTAATATACTGTTCATAACGATTAAGATGTTTTAGCTTCCGATATTTCGTGACCTATTTCTTGTCTTTAGTAAAAACTTCGTCTTTTTAAAATTATTAAATGCAAAGACAATATCACTGACTATAGATTTTTTTATATTAATTTAATTATCGAATTTATTAAAGGAAATTTATTTTCAGATACACTCGCCTGTTTGATACGTGTCTATCTCCAATAATGTTACTCTACATGTTTGTTTGTTCTATAATGCTTTGCGCTACAGCTTATCAAATTACAGTAAGTAATATTACAGACAGACAGACGTACAAATTTTATTAATTGTATAGATTGTAGGTCTTTGGCAGATTATAATTAAAAAAATAATTATAAAAATCGGACTACTAGGGGCGAAGTTATCGACGATCGAATAAAAAAACACAGACGAATTAAGACCCTTCTCCTTCTTTATGACGGTTAAAAATAATGAAGAGCGTCGGTGGCTCAGGAGTCACGCCTTGCAATCTTCAGGTCCTGGGTTCGAATCCCGCCATGTACCAATGTGTTTTTCGATTTACATATGTACATTTATCCCACGTTCTTACGGTGACAGAAAAAATCGTAATGCAACCTGCACATATCTGAGAAGAAATTCACCTTTTTTCTTAAAAGTAAAGGATTAGAGATGAAGTAGATTTTCTAGATGAGGTGATGCATGTTAAGGGAAAATATTCTTTTTCTGTGCATGTCCTCCGCCGATTAAAGGTAGGCATTTGCAGCTGCGAATGTCTACGGGCAGCGGTCGCTCGCTCTTTTGCTATCCTATAATATAAAAATAAATTACTGTCCTTTTAAAGACACATTCACAAATTCTATTTAATACCGAACAGACAGTAAACGTGGTGTATTTAAGTTTTATTTTGAAATTGCTTTATGCATTTCAATTTGAATATTCCCTCTTTGATGTCAAGCATAACTTACTTTTCAGGTGGAGACGAGCGCGATGCAACGCTTCCTAACTACGGAATATTTAATATTTGGAGTTGTTCAGTTATTTATTTACTGTTGGCACAGTAACGACCTCTTTTATGCGGTTAGTGAAACTTTAACTATTTTGATTTATTACCTAACTGACTGTGTCACCCGCGACTGCGTATGCGCGAAATTAAATAAACACAATCAGTAGCCTATTTGTTCCTCCAGACTATGTTCTACATCTATGTGGAATTTCATCGAAATCCATGCATATTGGAGATACCAAACCGCTACGACTTAGGATCCTTCAAGAAGCGAGCTTATCATCTAAAAGGCCGGCAACGCATCTGCGGTTTCTCTGTTATTGCTGATGTCCACAGTCGTCGTTGAATACCTCGGTGTTCCTGCTGCTCGTTTGCCCCTTCTGTTATAAAAAAAACCTTCTAACAAACATCCATGTATACTTTTGCATTTATAATATTAATAAAATTATTACAGAGCAGGCAAGTAATGAATGGACCATATAACAGTATTTGGTGGAACAGAAACAAACATTGTAAAAAGGACATACAAATATTGATTGGTCAGTTCAATAGAACTATAGTTTTCTCCGCTGGACCATTCACTAATTTAACTGTGGCCACATTTATAAATGTAAGTTTAATGTATACTAAAATAAAAATATAAAAACAAAAGAATAATGTACAGGTTGCTTTTTTAATACGACAAAGAATAGCTTTTAAACCGACTTCAAAAAGGAGGATGTTCTCAATTCGTCTGTATGTTTTTTTTGTTCGTCGATAACTCCGTCCCTAGTGGTCAGATTATCAGAATTCTTTTTTTATTCGAATGAGTGTCATTTGGTCTCTTTTTTTAAAACATTAAAAACTATCCAGTAGTTTTTGAGTTATTCTCAATAAACCGCGCCAAAGGTACGGATAAAAATGGAACAATTTTGCTTTCTTTGCTTATACAGTCTGAACTATACGACGTATATAAAAATTATGTAGGAATAAATTATAGCTCTTTATTAATAAATCCTTACATTTGCAGATATTAAAAGGAGCGTACAGTTATTATACTTTATTACGACAATCTCAAGAAACTGCTTTCAACAAATAGAAGAAACAAAAGCAACTGCAAATCAATTTATATTTTTTTTAAAATTATATGATGATAAATTAGCAACCGGCCAACGTTATTTGCTATCCATAGACCTTCAAATTTGAAAATACGTAGTATAAATAAATAAATGTGGTACACAGAGAATATGTTTTTAACAGGAAAACGTATAGGTAAAAGAAATATATTTTTTTATACGTCCCCTATCTCCTTCCCTTCTTCTGTCCATTTAAGACGCACACACATCATCAGCTCACTATACGTCCCCACCGAGGGGCTCGGAGCCTACCCTAAGTTAAGAGTGATTAGGCCATAGTAGTTTGTTCTTCCAGAAGATGTCTATGTGTGCCAAATTTCATCGAGATCCATTCTCATTCCTGAAGATACCTTCTAACAAACATTCATTCAAAAATTTGCATTTATAATATTAGTAAGAAAAAGATTTCAAACAAAGCTCAGACACAAATCACTTCTAATCATCGTTAACTTAAGCTAACCTCAACTTTGCAAGTCGTAATTTTTACATGAAAATTTTTCTCATAAAATCCTTTGTAATAAAACCTCTCGTAGTCATAAATATTTCAAGCAAACGAATGTTGTACATTCATATGGTTTGATACATAATTTACAAAGAAGTTGGACTAATAAAATTATTTGATTTCACAAGAGCGTCGGTGACTTAGTGGTTAAAGCACTTGACTTGCAATCTGCAGGTCCTGGGTTTGAATCCCAGCATGTACCTATGAGTTTTTCGATTTACATATGTACATTTATCCGATGTTCTTACGGTGAAGGAAAACATCGTGATGCTGCACATAACTGCGAAGGAATACAAAGATATGTGTAAAGTCAACCCGCACTGGGCCAGCGTGGTTGAATATGGGCAAGTAACTAACTTATGGTCCAACCATCAGTGGGGACGTATAATGAGCTGATGATGAATACTAAACCATATTTGGCTGGTTTGTAATTAGAAAACCGTATTATATTATATTTTAGTAGCAAATCTACCAGGCATGATTTTGATGCACAGAAAGAAAATATTTTCCCTTTCCATGCATCCTCTCATCCGGAAAGTCCATTTCCACTTCCCATCCTTTCCTTATAAGAAAAAGGGTGGGAAGGGAAAGAGGGCTAAATTAGGCCTCCGGGACGCACACTCATCAGACGAAACGCGGAATTGCTTCCACTTGAGGCGTGTCTTCCGTGTGGTCGGGGTATTTCGCCGGGCGAGCCGGGCCAATTCGTGCGAAGATGTTAAAGCGGGCTCTACCAAAATACACTTTTAAACTCTAAATAATATATACATTTCAGTTGGCACGTCAAGTCAAAGCGTACTATTATATCCAGCGTGCCAAATCAATAACGAATACAATAACCGTTGTTACTAGTATGTGTATACATTTAAACGGAATTCAATGAAATTTTCCGATCTATCGCACAAGAGTAGGAAAACTGAACCTTCGTTAGTGTCGGCCTCTAAATTGCCTCTAATGCGGATATTGACGAGCTCCGGCCCGATTAAGTTACTCTGATCCAGATATAACTCTGTAGGGTGCCTACTCTTTGCTTTTTAAAATCAATTTATTAACACGAATGATCTAGTCTTACTAATATTATAAATGCGAATGTTTAGATGGATGGATATTTGAATGAAGGTATCTCCAGAACGACTGCATTTATCTCGCTGAAATTTGGCATAGATGTGGAATACAGTCTGGAAGAACAGATAGGCTACTTAATAAGGTTTTTTTTTTTAATTCCGCGTGTGCTTAGTCGTAGGTGACAGCACGTTTATTATAATATCGATTGATTCGATATTTAAATTAATTCTTTATATTATAATAACTTTTGGATAACTCATAAAATGTATTCGTTTAGATCAGTCTTTCCCAAAGTGGGCGATAACGCCCCCTTGTGGACACTGCAGGTCTCAAGTTGCGGGTTATAGTAAAAGTTTCGTTTAGAATTCTCCGTTAATATACATATATAGGTCACAATAATTAATTAATTTAAGTTGTAGTTATAGTGTTATTAAATATGTGAAAATATGGGGCGCTTGAAATATTCTCAAAGTGGGCAGTAGACAAAATAAGTTTGGGAACCACTGGTTTAGAGTCTAAAGCTATTTTTCATTCTAGATCAATAGTTTTTGTATTATTATGGTAAATAAAAATAATACTTCTTCTTTTGTTTATTGTATTCTTGTTTATCATGACATTTTTCTTCTGCATGACTTAATTTGACTGTTATAATATTATTAGGTGAATGCAGGCGTGAGATGTTAGAATAGAGCGCGGGTAGGCGACCGCCCACGGCACACAGGGCACTGGACAGAAAGGGGGATAGGTAAGCCCAGGGCGCTAGTTAAACTGTTAGAAAGGCGAATATGATGGATGGATAGATGTTAAAAAGTAGCTCCAAAACAACTTATCAGATCTAGATAAAATTGTACATAGAGCTGGATTTACTGTTTTAAATTACCAATATGAAATTTTATTTCTTAATACCGCACGTGATTTTAAAGGCAAAAGTTAGTGGTTATATAATATGTTTGAAAAGGAAGAGCTTTAACTAACAACATGCTATAGGTAGAGCTTTCGCTAAATGGCCCGTGACGTTGCGGCTTTTGAAAGCTATTAAAGTCCTCGTACACTCTTGAGAAATTGTAGCAGTGACATCTATTGAGTAACGACTATAAGGAAGCTTTTGCATTATACTTGTCAGTATTAAGAACGTTATGTTAATGATCTACTTCACTTATACTTGTATATTAAAATTATCAGTCGCCAGTTACTTCGTCTGGGCGGGATTAAAAAAACTTAATTAGTTGACTATGTGTTCTTCCAGACTATGTTCTACATCTATGCCAAATTTCAGCTAGATCCATGCAGCTGTTCTGAAGATACCTTCTAACAAAATTCCATCCATCTAAACATTCGCATTAATAATATTAGTAAAATGTAGAATAAAATTGTGATTAAATTGCAATTAATATCATGCATTTCTTTTTAAAATTTCCTATAAAATTATTAGGTTTATTGGAAGGATAAAGAAATAAATAAGCTATGAAATTTATGACATATTTTTATCGATTTTTTCGTTATAGGGTTCCGTACCTCATAGGAAAAAACCGGAACCCTTATAGGATCACTTTGTTGTCCGTCCTTCTGTCTGTCAAGACCTTTTTTTGTTTGTTTGTAACTTCATAGAGTTTGAATTGTAAGGTACGGTAAATTCTTTAATCAACTTTTATTAGCCTATTTTATTCGTCTCAATATTAATTATAATTAATTATTAAAATCACAGAAGTTAATTGTCTCATTTATATGACATTCCACGTGACGTTAATTGATGTAAATATTTGAGCGGGCTTAATTTATCAAAGCGTAGGAAAATCTCGGAAACTGTTATCTTGTAGCACACGGAGGTGTAAGGTTATATGTGTGAAATTAGTTATGTAGACATAAATTATCTTTATATCCGTGTCTTTATACCATTATGTCTAGACCCACCACCTTATCGTTCTTCAAATTGATCTCTAGTTAAACAGCAATCTCTCTAAATGTATCTTCTCTAAACCTATCCATTTCTTCCTAGGCCTACATCTAGAGCCGCATCATCCATCTAGAGCCACAGTCAGCGAGTCACATCTTTAATCTATTTCTAAAATTAAATATTATTTTTTTTCTATTAAGTACTGCAGATAAGTTTTAGGCTCCTAGCGCCTAGCGCCAAGCGCCTAGCGCCTCGCGCCTATTATTTAGTTGGAATGATCGTTGATAATGTGATTAGATGTTTGTATCCCAAAGTATTAGACTATTGGTAGAGTTCATATTCTTCAGCTTAAGAGTTAAATTATCTTTGTTAGAAGGAACTATGTGGCGTGAAATATTGAACGGACAGAGCTAAAGTAGCGCGTCGCAAGGGAACTAAATAAATTGTTTTGAGAGGAAGCGGATTTGGGCGGCCATTATTACGTTAGAAATATTGTTATTGGCATCCGACGTTATGTGAACTTTACGACTTTTTTCCTTTCATTTCTTTTCTACAATGTATTTTTATGTCATACTAGCTGCCACCCTTGACTCCGTCCGCGAAAAATTATAAGAACATAATTAGTAGCCTATGTGTTTTTGATGTTCTATATGTATGCCAAATTTTATCGAGATCCGTTCAACCATTCTTAAAATACCTTCGAACAAACATCCATCCATCTAAACACTGGTATTTATAATGATAGTAAGATAGGGAAGTATATCCCAAACTTAAAATTTTTTGAACCTCATTCATCAGAGAAAGACCTCGAACATATTTTGTTATCTAAAACAAACTATTGTTTCGTTGTCCTAAAATAATGAAGATCTTTGATGATTAGTAAACAGATTTTAGTCAAAGCAAAATATCAGCTTATAAATCAGTTTCCAAATCGAATGTAAAGAAAAAATCTTTCCGTTAAAGAGATTTCTTTTAGGCGCGTAACTTTCGATACGTAAGGGGATTATCTGCGGGCCGTGTGCTCGGATTATCGAGTCTCGTTTTCTGCTAGGATTTAATGGAACTTTACCATATAGTTCATAGATTTTTTTTCAAAGAACATTTTTTTTTCTTGAAAAATTTTTCAAAGAATTTTTTTTTTACTTCCATATTTTACTAAGAATAATTTTGGTTTTTTTTTGTTTACTTGTAAATTTTTTTTCGGTATTACAAATTTTTTCAAAAAATTTTTTTGCTTTAATTTTTTTTCATTTTACAAATTTTAGTTTACTCTGTTAATTCATATACAGAAATGTTTTGTTAAATTTATCTTTGAAAATGAAATAGTTAGAATGTTGAACGACAACACTTTATCATAGTATATTAAAGTTAGAAGGTGGTTTGTAAACGAGTTTTTATTATCAAAATAAATAATGCAAGGAATAACTTTCGACCATCATAAACTCATCTACTTCACAATATAAACTAAAACACACAATTAATAATGCAATAACAAAGTTTCA